TGAAAGATACGCATGACAATCGCAGCTTCTGTCGAATCGCGATCTCGATTCCATTTCGATTTATCGTGCAGCCCTACTCTGACTTTAGTTTTGTGAAACTATACTACATAAAACATAACTGCACGAAACAGAAACAGCAGATGGGCAGAATGAGACGCAGATTCACTCACTGACAGCAGGTGGCGCTTATAGAACAGCAGCGTTACAGCGTTTCCTTGGTTACCGCTGTAAACAAAGCAGAGCTGCGCTTATAAATACTACTTTAATATGCATCATACAGAGGCGAGATGAAAAGAAAATACCATTTAAACTATTCTTAAGACAGTCAGTTCCCCTCCGAGATACATTCATATAAACTCCTACTACCCCCAGTTGTATCGCGATTCATTTAACATCTCAACCGATTTGAATCGGCACATATTTGTATCGGTTTTCAATCGGCTCGGGGTGCACAACTGACAAAGCTCTCAGTAGATTTAATACAATCATTCTGTATGTTATATTGATTTATCACTTCAATAATCCCACCATAAAATGTGGATCAGATCACTGACATGATTATAGACATCTTTACTGGTCGGCACAACATGAAAAGGTTTAAATGATTTCTGAACTGCATCCACTACGTCCTGAAATGACCAAGATCTTTGGTTTGTAATGTGAAATTGAATGCAATTGTGTTTCTGAAGGTACTAGACCTGAGCTAGTAAAATCTGACACAAAATTTTTCCCACTGTGTTGAGATACTATTGCAAAACTGCAGGAGCAACTTTGGGTCAAGAACCCAAAGTTCAATATTCACAGCAAGGGCCAGTAAAATCTCTGACCCCAGCCAACCTCACAAAGTGAACAAAAGTGTATCCTCAAAATTCTCAGGTACTGAACCATTGTTAAGATAAGATAAGAGTTTTCCCAGCATTTTAAGGTCAGTTCCTGTTTGATTTGTAATCTCCATTAGGATCGTAAGGCACCGCTACGTCTGATGTATTTTATTGTATTTTTTAGCTTCAGAAGAACAAAGACCTGCTGTCCATGCTACAGAAGGTAAGATCACAGAGATGCTTGACCTCTTAATGCAGTGAATGACAGTAAATAGTCTGGTTTTGCGAATGCTAGTGGTGCAAAAGTTGCACATTTCACATTTAAAGAGATATTTAAACCCCAAAAGAAAAGTCTGTCATCATTTACTCCCTCTATGACCTTCTTTTTTTCTGTGAAGCACAACAAAATATAGTCTGAAGAATGTTGGGATCCAAACATTTCAACTATCCCTTTAAGAAAAGTACAAATACAGTGGTTAAAGTCAAAGTACTTTGATTAAACCAAGTGCTAAATACTGTTTTAGTGTTATGAACAGGCTTCCCATGGTCATGGAAAACCTGGAAATATCAGGGAATATTAAAACTGTGCTTTTTAAGCCATGGAATTTTCTAGAGTGAATATTTTTCTTTCTGATGAAATATTTCATCAGCTAGAGATTGTGTAAAGTAACACTTGCTCAAAAGTAAGCATTGATTATTATTAGAAACAATATTATTATAAGAAATATTATATATTTTGAATGCATAATTATAATGCACTTTATAATGCATTGTATGATCTTATGAATAATTGTAACCACAGCTACAAGACATCGTACTTATCTATTTATTCTTACACCTTTAGAAAGTATAATGCATTAAAACATAAGACAAAGCAAAAAAATTGCAGATTAACAAGGAATCTGCAAATATTATAATGAATAATGAACTATTAATGAAAATATATAATGCATTACCAAGTACATTATGAATCCTTTATAATGCATTATACATAAAATGTTACCAGGACATTTGTTGACTAATAAATATACATTTAAATTTAAACTTACATTTTTTAACTCAAAATATTGGTATCTGGCATACAAAAGGACAGCCAGTCCAGAAATCTCTAGAAAATAATTGATAAACAATCCTAATTCAGTAACCAAGAGCATTCTGTGGATCTTTAAGGATGTCAGTGACCCATACATTTATTTATGTTTTATTATTATGCCTGTTGTGGAAGGTTTAACCAAAATGAAGCTGCATGTTTATTTATATTTTAAATTTAATATCTTTCGCACAGATTTATTTTGTTTTTCAGACATTTTTGAAGGTCTCTTTCATATCTATGGGGCATAATGCAGCTGTGATGAAGGCCTAGTGTAAATCATTGATGAGTTAGTGTAGAGTGTAGCATTTGCTTTAGTAGGTAAGCGGTTCAGGTCATGTTTGCACAGCTCAAGAGCATTTCTATTAATAGTCTCCCCTCAGATTTTGCTTTCCTCAGCTGGTTGAAAAATTAAAAGGATCCACCATGTACGAAAAACGTGAGTAAACGTAAACGCACAAAATCATTTGCGTCACAACCCGTCATACGGATGAGAAAATGAGTCATTTGATTGCCTTCAGTGACTAAAGTGCTAATCTTCCCTTCTGTTCGATGAGGCGGTCAAAGAAACGCACGTTCAGGCTTTAACAGCGTTTAATCAAGTCTGACCCACATACTGCAAGATGTGAATCGGCAGCACTTCTTTTAAATGCAGTTTATTCATGTGCTGCTTTGTGCATATGAATTTGATTTATGATGTGAGTCCTTGCTTACAAATGAAAGTGCTGATGCTTTCGGATAATACTGTACCATAATACCATATTTATATACTGTACCATGGTATTTGCAACGTACACTACCATTCAAAAGTTTTTTCTTTAAGAAATTAATAGTTTTATTCAGCAAGGATGCATTAAAGTAAAGACATTTATAATGACAATTTATAATTACAATAAGAAGATTTCTATTTCTAATAAAGGCTGTTCCTTTGAACTTTCTATTCATCAGATAATCATGAAAAAAGTGTCATAGTTTCCACAAACATGAAGCAGGACAACTGTTTTTTACATTGGTACTAATAAGTAAAAATAATAATTATTTAATAAAGTAATAATGATAATTTCTTGAGCAGCAAATCAGCATATTAGAATGATTTCTGAAGGATCATGTGACACTGAAGACTGGAGTAATGATGCTAAAAATTCAACTTTGATCACAGGAATAAATTACATTTGAACATATATTCAAATAGAAAATAGCTATTTGAAATTATAATAATATTTCACTATTTTAAGTGTATTTTTAATCAAATAAATGCAGCCTGGATGAGCAGAAGAGACTCAAATGTAAAAAAAATAAAATAAATTGAATGGTAGTGTACTTGAAAGATTCACTTCCAAAAAAAAAAAAAAAAATACACCTTAGGCTGACTGGATGAGCAGAAGAGACTCAAATGTAAAAAAAATAAAATAAATTGAATGGTAGTGTACTTGAAAGATTCACTTCCAAAAAAAAAAAAAAAAAATCAGCCTAAGCTGAATATTCTGCTCTGTTTTGCTGGTTTTAGAGAGGTTTTGGACATTTGCAGTACTAATTTGATGGTTTGTGCTTCAGACAGATGTGATGTTACTTTACTAAGTGATCAGATGCACCATTTTCACCTACTGGACCAAAAAACAGATGAAAAAATCCCACTTTAAAGTAGAAACCCAAGCCATATCTGCAGCTATGTCCCCATTAGTCCTGCAGTGCCTGGTGTTGCGGTGCAGTGTGTCAGTGTGCCAGCAGGAGGCAGTGAGTTTGCTCTCGTCCTCCACACGTGAGTGTGACAGCCGCAACTGGGTCAGGAACATAAGAGCCGCTCGCCTTCAATGAAACGGGGAAACCTGGAAAAAAACAACAACTGAGAAATGAAAACATAATGGGATTGGGCTGGGGGTTCCTGTCTTTTACACATTTGCGTTAAACTGCTGTCGTTAAGACCTCACACGTAAGCACCGAGGCCCACGTACACACACAAACACGCTCTAGCACCAATACTATAATTTGCCACCTTTGTGCCACCTTTGTGCGTAAGAAAAAAAGAAAGTGGAAAACAGAACGTAGGTAGTTTTCAGGAAAGACGTAATCATTGCCGCTGCTGTCTTGATTGTGGGTATTCCTATAAATATGCGGCCCGTGCCGAGTCTCAGTGCTTGCAGAGCAGGAAAATCAACAAGACAACAGCTCTCCAGGTATAACAGATGCACTTGGGATTTTTCCAATAAAAACCGTGAGTAGAATGTCAAATAGGAGTGTTTTCTGTATTGTAACTACTTTAAAAAAAAAAATTTTTTTTTATTTGTGTTAAATTCAGCATGAAATCAAACCTTCCAAAGGAAAGAAATCTGATAAAACATTGTAAAACAGCTTCTCGAAAGAGAAAAAAAATGTAGGGCGTAACTTGATTTTGTCCATTAGTAATTGATTGGATCATTGGATCGTGGTCATTTGCTAATTGCTCATGTGAGCGACAGTGAGTAATTTCAGTATCACTGATATACTATCATAATTTTTGTTAATATTTTGAATTCGATTTTATTTATATGTCCTGTTTTCATCAAATTTTTAGTAAACGTTATAGTAATTTTGTGTTTGTCAATTTTTTAAAAATGTTAATCTCTATATAGTTTTTAATTAGGGCTGCACGATTATGACAAAAATCATAATTGTCAATTATTCCCTTGAAATTGTAATTGCGATTATTAATTACGATTATCACAATTTACATTGAATGATGTTTATACCATTGTTTGATGCAACTGCATGCCGTATGTTTATATGAAAATAAACAAGCTGAAAACACTTAACTGAAAAACTTTTAGTGCTTTTCTATAGAATTAAGCCTCAAATGTCAACTCATCTTAAGCACGCAGAATAACATAAGTGGACTTTGAACGATTAATTGCCGCTTTGAACGATTACGTAATTGTGGCATCCGTAATTGTAATCGCGATTAGAAATTCGATTAATTGTGCAGCCCTAGTTTTAGTTTTAGTTGATTTAGTTATTTTTTACTTAAAGTTAAACTAAATGGGAATGAGAAATGTTGCCTTGACAACTAGCTGAAATAAAATTGGTTAGTTTATTTTTTATTATTTTATTTTATTTCAGTTAGCATTTATTTCAAGTAATGAAAATGTTTTGTTATGGTTCTAGTTTTCTGTTGGAGGTGAGGGATTGTAATTGATTAAAGATTTCGAGGGCACATTAATAAAAAAAAAAAAAGATATGCATGGATAAATAACAAACACTGCAATACTCCAAAAATAAGTTGTTGAATAAAAAAAAGTTGATATTAATTTCATGGTGACATATTTGATTTCTTGGTATCAACTGAACATGGAAATCATAGGCTTCCTTGAACAGTTTTAACTTGCTTACATATTTATTCATCTTATTATATAATGTTGTTTAATTTTAAGTGCATTTCTATTTATTATTATTATTATTATTTCTGTGTTTTCCTGGCAGTTGTTTTGTTCGATTCTGACAGTATGTTTGTTATGCTGCAATCCCTCTGTAAAACAACTGCAATTTTTTTTTAATTCTTTACAAAAAATAACTAGCTGTTTAGTTAATCAATTAATTCCCACGGGATAAAATCAAGTCTTGCTTCTTGTTCAGTGTGTGTATGTAAACTATTTATTTTCTCAACAGGATTTTCAATGCATTTCCTTAAGGCTTCAGACAGAAAATGGCTTATTTGTATTGGACAGATTGTTTTGTGCTTGAATAAGCATTTGCGGCATCTAGTGATTTTAAAATATAAATGCAAAAATGGTCTGAGCTACAGTTCGGTGTTAGTTCTAGTTCTTGTGGTTGTAAACATGGTCTGCCTTAGATGTAGGAACCTTCATTAGTGATGTTTGTTAATGAAAGCATCATATTACTATTTCACATTACTATTTAGTGTTTCTGATGTGATCTAACCTTGATCATTAAGTATTAAAGTTGAGTATGAGCATCGTCCAGACCTGAATGATTCCCCTAATCATGTTCTCCACAGAGTCCTATCAGCAGGACGGGCCTGGAGAAGTGGACCAGTCAGATCTATCCAGAGCCTGAGGCGGCATCAGAGGAAGTGCACATGTTTGACTTGGATTGCTTCCTGTCCGACATCTCAGACACGCTGTTCACCATGACCCAGAAACCCAGTCCCTGGAGTGGAGACCGCCAAAACAGTGAGTCCACCCAGAAATCATTTACTCACCTTCATGTCATTCCAAACCCAGATTCATTTGTATTTTCAAACTTGGCCTGTCAAGATGCAGTGTGCCAGGTTTAACATCATTGATGCTTGTAGTTTTTGGTGCATGGCTTGTAATTAATCACATTGTGCCGATTTTGAAATATGCACATGCATGCAAGGTTTATAGACTACTTTTATCAGGGTTTCTGTGGGTTTTGAAAAGTCTTTTTTGAAAATTCTGCCTTCCACAAATTAAAGCCTTAAAAAAAAGTCTTACATCAGAGTAGAAAGTCTTAAATTCATAAAATCATGGCATTAAATGTTGCATGCACTGCAAAAAATGAACATTTTCCTCAGTATTTTTGTTTTGTTGTCCAATACATTTATCTAAACATCCTTAAATCAAGATACATTTACTTGAGATGCAAAATGAAGATCTTGTTTTTGGAGAAATTGAACAAAATTTATGCTTAAAACAAAAACAAACATCTGTCAGTGGGGTATGAAAACTTGTTTTCCCTTCGAATTAAGTTTTTCTTACATTTTCTGAACCCATTGGCAGATATTTGCCTTGTTTTAATCATAAAGTAACTTCACTTTGATTAATTTCTCAGAAAATAATAATAATGCTTCTAAATGTAGTAGCTTGATTTTTATAAAAATCTTTAGATATTTCAGCTGGAAAACCAGACAAAAATATTGATGATGCACATCATTTTTTGCGGTGTGATCAGGAGGTACAGTAAAAGTTATTTCCATATTTATAGTTAAGCTATTTTCCTTTCTCTGTGTTTTATTTTTATTTATTTTGTAAGATGAATTAAAAAGTAGTAGAGAACGGTTGGAAGTTGTATTTTCAACCTTTTCTTAAAGTCTTAAAAAGTCCTAAATTTACCTTCATAAAACCTGTTTGTGGTGTTCTTTGTCATTTTTGGAGCCGTACAGCACCTAAATGATCATTTTATGAAAAACATAATCATATTGAAATATAATTTTAATAATGTCTTGTTTTATAATTTTATTTCCCACAGAAAAAAGTAAGTCATACAGGTTTGAAATGACATGAAAATACAAAATTTTAAATAAAAAAAATTACTTTTTTAAAAATTTTAAATTAAAAAAAAAATTTAAATAAAATTTTTTTAAATTATTTGGATGATGAGCGTTAATGCGAGATCACCTTTGTGAGTCTCAGTTCACTTGACTGAACTAATACATTTTGTGGTCACTATATATTGATCTTGAAAGGATATTTGGCTGATTTAACAAGATTACAATATAATATGTATCTTTCAGTGACATTTAATGTGTCCTCTGCCTTAAAGGGGTCATATGATGCTGCTAAAAATTAGTGCGAGATCAGCTTTGTGAGTCTCAATTCACTTGACTGAACTAATACATTTTGTGGTCACTATATATTGACCTTGAAAGGATATTTGGCTGATTTAACAAGATTAGAACATAATATGTATCTTTCAGTGACATTTAATGTGTCCTCTGCCTTAAAGGGGTCATATGATGCTGCTAAAAAGAACATTATTTTGTGTATTTGGTGTAATGAAATGTGTTTATGCGGTTTAAAGTTAAAAAAACACATTATTTTCCACATACTGTACATTATTGTTTCTCCTCTATGCCCCGCCTTCTGAAAC